ATCTTCATACTCATCGCCCTGATGACGGAGGCAGTATGACCTCTGAAACGTTGGTAAACATCGACCAGACTACACGGCGCAACAACCCAGAAGACGGAAATCTTCATACTTATCGCCCTGATGATGGAGGCAGTATGACCTCCGAAACGTTGGTTAACATCGACCAGACTACACAGCGCAATAACCCAGAAGACGGAAATCTTCATACTCACCGCTGTGAGAACCTCAAGTCTTACATTTATTAACAAATCTCAATACAAAATGTCATCCAATATGGATCGCTCAGTGTAGGTCAGAGACGAATGGAAATGCAGACATGTGTTCTTCCTTTCAGATCCCTCCCTATTCAATACACACATCAGTCCCATACCTCACAACACCCCCCAAGTACAGTTCTGATAAAAACAGGCCGACTCTGCTGCAGCTAGTGTTCCGGTAAACCCAACACTCAAATCTCGACACACTGGCGCTGCCTTCTACGGAGCAAAGTCGCCCCCTACTCTCAAGAACTACGTCACAAAATTGAAGGGGGTGGGTGGGTGGCGTAAAAGTACAGCTTCACGTTCCGACCGTTTCACCTCTCTCAGAAAAAGTCACGAACTCCAAAGAGATAAAAGGTTTAAAACGCCTTGCCTCTACCGGGAATCAAAATGCTGCCATGTATCCCCTGACCAGTCAATATTGATTGGCTGAGCTAGTACCGCTCACTTTCATGCAGCAGAAAGCAGATCTGTACACACGTGCACACCGCATTGCTTACGGCCAATTCATCCAGGTCGAACCTCAAACAAATTACACTGCACTGGAGCCCTACTTCAAAAAAAAAAGACAACGGTGACCCCTTGCCTACCGACTACATCGTCAAGGTGGAAAGGTATACGACACTGGATCGTAGCGCTACACAAATGTAATGACGCACAGAAAAATTCCCAACGCTTCTACTAGTAATCCAGCCACCGTATAACAAGGAAAGGGACAGAGACAGCTTCCGACATTGTTTCCTTAATAACTACAAAACCGCACTGATAACTACGCCAATATTCTTCCTCTGGAACCTCAGAACCTCGTTACAAAACCAATAACGAGGCATAACCTTCAAGATGGCTGTCTTCCGGGTTGCAGGGCCGTGTTCGCCATCACCACCCTGATGATGTAGACAGCAAGTACCTATTAAAAGTCGTAAAATTCTGCCAGACTACATATTAAAAGTCGTAAAATTCTGCCAGACTACAATTCAGAAGGCAACCATCATCATTCTCACTGACGTGAGAACCTCAAATCCTACTCGAGCACAGTCTTGCCTCGACGACCTAGTTCGCCGGGTACATTCCTGTCATGGAATGGATACAGACACTGTAAGCATTCATCCTTCCTAATGATTACATAATGTGGACAACCCAAAGCTGTCAGATAATTCAGTCAGTACAGGACAGCGACTAGGCGACGGGCTGAATGACCGGGATTCGATTCCCAGCAGAGCTCTATGGCCACCCAGCCCCTGATAAGGGTATTACCTCGAGGGTACAGTAGTCAGGGCATACAGCCAACTTCTCATCTCCATCTAGTGCTGAAATTTACGATACATGGAAGTTTATATGCACCCCCACACGTCTGCATGGCTTGGTGACTTGACTTGACTTATAACGCCAGACATACTACTAATGGAATTAATTTTTTACATACCGCCATGCACGCTTAAGCACAAGGCAAGTTTAAATGATTCACCACCAAAATTATTTATGTAGTCGGCATGCTATTTTCAATTTCCTTTTCATGGTTAAGTCACCGTTCCAAAACTTCCACTGTCCATCCATACAAGCTGGGTTATGAACTCAAGACTCCTCCTTCAAAGTCACAGCTAATGTGGGGCACAACAGCATTCCACTTATTTTTGCAAGTTCAAAGAAAATTGTACATATTTCAGTCACACAACACATAAACACACCTTTAGTAACAAGTGAAACAAATGCACGCTGTTACATCTTTCTGGCTACGCGTTTTAACTTAAGTGGGTCATCTTCTGGGTCCCATTTTCTAAATACCATGTTCAGGGTTGGGTGAACTGGGCGACGTCCAGGGTTCTGCACCTGCACGGGCTTCACGCCCATACTTTCACGCAACAAAATTCCAATTACCCACATAAGAATCTACAGCTGATAAAACGAGGACTTGCATTAATCAGGTGAGTCATTTCTAGAGGACACAGTTTTTATAAATTGTTAAATTATAATTTAAATCACCTGAAATGCCTCGCACACATTTTTCTTAAGCGGACCTGCTAATCAGTCTCGCCCGCGGCCTCAGAACTGGCTCCATCAGTTGCTCAGTGCATTATTTTGGTAAAATTATAAACAATTTTAAATATCAATACATTTATTTTTATTTATATTTTATTTAGTGTTCTGTCTGACGACAGGTCCATATGAACAGGATCCTTCCATCCTTTTCTCGGACTGGGACCTGTTCATATAAAATAACAGGTGACAGAGTGAGTCCTGATCGTGGTATTTAAAGTAAGGAGCCTGAAAATGACACATCAGAGACAAAGAATATACCAGAATACATTATTCAACTTCTAAACAATAAGTAATCTAAGTGCATGTGTGTGTGTCAGGCTGTAATATGTACCGTTAATTTATAATTAAGAAACAGGACACGGACGTTCACGTATAAAAAACCAGCAG